TTCGTTTCTTCACTATCTTCTACTGAAGCATCAACAAATAATGATGCTATTAGTAAAGTACAAAGTTTGATTCATTCTATGAAGGAGAAATTGACATCAAAAGTAATCATTATACTTTATAAGTTATTACTATTATTATTGTTGTTGTTGTTGTTGTTGTTATTATTATTGTTATTATTAGGTGCTTGCTAGTAGATCTGTAGATCATGAATATTTACTACTTCTATTGCTGGATTTGCCTGTTGATGTTTCAGTTAAAAAACTAAAAGAAAGCAAAGGACAGACACTATCAAGCTACACTCGAGTAAAAGTATGAAGAAATGCATTTACACATACATTGTACATATACTGTATAGTGGGTAATTTTCGTGGTGCTTTATTTTAGTGGTTTTGGGTCTTGATTACCACGAAATTTTCACCCACCAATTCATTGAAGTGCCATCCCCTTACGGGCTATGTAAATTTTTAACCATGAAAATTAAAACCACGAATCGCTCCACAGGAGCAAACCACGAAATTTTAGACCCATGAAACTAACTGGCTATACAGTACATGTATCATGTACATGTTTTGACCAAATTATGATTAAAATATTTTTTTCGTATTATTATTTTAGAAATTTTGTAAAATGTCTGAAGACTATGGGACATTACTTGGGATGGATAACTTGGTAGCAGCCTCAAGGTATTACTGTATGCTAGCTGACTGGGGAAAGAAACTGGGACAACATGAGGTAAGTGTTACCAGATTTGGTAATATTCTTTTTATTGTTTTAATTTTAATGACTTAAAATTGGCCTATTTTTCAGTTGCCCATTTCTTCTAAATTTGTAGTACCGTAGGGTGCCTTTTTTTTAGGGCTGTAATTTTTTGTGATGTCGCCTAAAAATCTATTTTGCGGATTTAATTTTTGCGAATTTGTGCCGTCTGCCATCTTTTACTGTAATAGTTTGATTTTTGTAGAAGTAATTTCGCGAATCTTCAAAAAGTTATGAAATCCATGAAATTTACAGCCTTGGAAAATACATGTAGGTGATTACGGTAGTAATCAGCTCAAACTTTCTACTTAGCGTAAGGATATTAATAGTTATGCATTAAAATGTAAGGAATCAATTTTTTGAACTTTTGAAAAAAATAACTCTTAATTTTTTACATATTTATTCTCTGTTCTATGCTAGTTTTATTTATAATTATTGAGTTAATATCATTATTTATGATTATCATATTATTTAGATATCATTTACTCAAGCATTTCGTGGGGACCACAAAGAAAAGATGGACGTTTTTCAAAAGATGATGGAAAAGGACTCGATCACTTTAGAAATGATTATACAGTACTGCACGTGAGCTTTATTTCCATACAAATATTACATTTTAATTTCTTGTTATTTTAAAGTGATTTTAAGATCAACGTCCAGTCAAACCTTCATGCTTATGTTGAAAGGATCCTCACCTATTGGCATGACAACAGTTGCTATGGAGAGCGGCTAAAGGAGGTGATGTGTAAAGTTATCAATACTGAGAGAATTTGTATAGAAATACACAAACTATTAGTAGATGAGGTAAGAATACTGTTCTTTTGTCTTCATTGTCATCTCTCTCTCCTTCCCCCCCTCTCTCTCTCTAGATATCATGGTATGATTATAAAAGGATTGAGGTTATATTGGACCTCCTTTTCCTCTATGAGTACAATATTCAGGACTTTTCCCTCAATCTGGGCCTGGAATTATTGACATGTCTTGGAGCCTACACTAGAACCGGTCCCTTACTGAGTATTGAAGAGGAATGGTGGAAAGTGCATAACGGACATGGGGTAATAAATAATAATGATAGTAACACATGATACTAGTTTACTTGTGTGATAATGGTTTAAAGCAGAGCAAGCTATTGCAGGGTTTTCTAAAGGATTTTGGCAAACATGTAGTGTTCATGCAGCTTCTTGTTAGTAGATTGTAAGACCCTGTACTATAGTACTACAGAGTATTATGACAAATGACTAATAGAGAATTCTTCTTTCCTATATTTTTTATGATTTATATTCATGTTCTTATGTGTAGAAAGTTTTAACTGATTCCGATCACATTTAGATTTTTTATGAATTGTTAAAGTTGCTCAAAAATCAGGCCAACGTCCCTGTACAGGGTCATTAACCAAATTTCTTCAAAAATGACTAGGAGAGAATTTTCCATTTTTATAATTTTTTATGATACATATACATGCTCTTATGTTGTTTAGAAAGTTTGAGCTGATTCCGATCAAGTTTGGATTTTTTACGAATTTTTAAAGTTGCTCAAAAATCAGGCCAAAGTCCCTGTACTATTAGTAACGCGGTAGCGTTGCTAAGTAGGATTCACCCCCAAACAAAATGGCTGCCATGACATTTGCAGCCTTGCTATACTGGGAAAACGAGCTCCTATGCTTACCAGACTTTATAGAGGACCTTATCTTGACCATAGTACAGGGTCATTGGCCAAATTTCGCCAAAAATGACTAGGAGAGAATTCTCCATTTTTATTACATTTTTTGATACACATACATGTTCTTATGTTGCATAGAAACTTTGAGCTGATTCCGATCACATTTTGATTTGTTATGAATTTTTAAAGTTGCTCAAAAATTAGGCCAATGTCCCTGTACTATAGTACAGGGTCATCAACCAAATTTCTTCAAAAATGACTAGGAGAGAATTCTCCATTTTTATAATTTTTTCTGATGCATATACATGTTCTTATGTTGTTTAGAAAGTTTGAGCTGATTCCGATCAAGTTTGGATTTTTTATGAATTTTTAAAGTTGCTCAAAAATCAGGCCAAAGTCCCTGTACTATTAGTAACGCGGTAGCGTTATTAGTAACGCGGTAGCGTTACTAAGTAGGATTCACCCCCAAACAAAATGGCTGCCACGACTTTTGCAGCCTTGCTATACCGGGAAAACGAGCTCCTATGCTTACCAGACTTCTTAGGGGACCTTATCTTGACCAGAGGACTCCATTGGTACCATTAGCGTGGCTCTAGACCTTGTCTAAGAGGAAAGTCAAAAATCGGCGAACCGGCTGTTTTGTTCAGCCACCTTTTTTCATCTTCATCATCAAGAAGTAAGTCCTGTCAATCCAGTTGGCGAGCTGTATCTCAATAATGACTGGTGCTAGAAGTCTAATTCTTACACCATTCTACTCCAACAGTCTATGCGCGGATCCATGTCCCCTAAAATCATTCTCCAAGATAAGAAAAAGTGACGTTATGACTGCTGTATAAGGCCAGCTTACCTCACGCCGCCATTTTGTTAATTATAAAAGCATGTGCTCCAAAATTTGGGCGTGGTCGCGCATGCTCAGATCTCAGAACTGGGGAAAGCAAGCAATTTTTTAAATCTAGCTGGGCTAGCTATGCTTGGAATCAATTGCAATACTTAGTGGAGGTTTCCAGCTCAGAGAAGGTACTAATCTTGCATCTTATTCTTTTATAAAGTGTGTAATGAATTATTTTATTTTAAAAACAATTAATTAATGTTATAATAATACAATGATTATGACTTTGACAACAGGATGAACAGGAATAGATAGCTACAGAATTGCAGGGAAGATGGAGCTTCTTGAACAAGGATTCATGTCAAGACTATAGTATTAATTTCACTTGTCATCAGTATAGTAGATATTCCTTCAGCATATCGATTTAATGTTGTAACTGCTGTCTCTCATAAATGCAGGAAAGTCATAACAATGATAATAATAATAAAGAAAATTATTGTTTGTGTAAAATCAACAAGTATCACAATGGCAACTAAAAACATAATTATTACAAATATTATAAAAAAATCAACACAAACAAGAACATAAAAAACTTAAAAAAACAAGACTGAGTAGGATTCCGAATGACCAACGAAATTACGAAATGAAAATCCTACTCTCGTGACACAAATTCTACTCTACATTGCAAGATGATTCAAAACTTTTACATGAGAACATTAAAAGTACAATGTAGAGTAGAATTTGCGTCACGAGAGTAGGATTTTCATTTCGTATTTTCGTTGGTCGTTCGGAATCCTACTCAGTCTTGTTTTTTTAAATTTTTTATGTTCTTGTATCACAGGAATACTGTCAGGAACTGGGTCTGAAGAATATTGCTCTCCGCTCTCACCAACTGGAAGGTCTAAAGTGGTTATCAGAGTGTCATGAGAGAGGGCAGCATGGCTGTATCTTAGGGGATGAAATGGGACTAGGGAAAACACTTCAGGTAGGAATTTCAATCAATGAAATGATGATAATAATATTGCTTAAAATACTGGCTATTTGTCAGGTTGCTGGGCACATAAAACTGCACATTTTAAAGTCTATTTGTCAGGCAACCTTTATCGACCATGCGTGTTCAAATTGTATGCTTCCTTAATTTTTTTGAATTAATAAAGCCCAATGTTTCTCAGTGTCTTAGTTTTTTGAAACTCTTGTCAATTTTTGTTACCCTCTCGTAGGTTGAGCATTTTTATAATTGTTCATACACATGAGAGAAAAAGAGACTGCCTGACAAATAGCCTTGTAATTACAGATGGAAAGGCCTCTTTAAAAATAAAAGTATCGTTACCGACTGACATAGAAATATGATCCTTTTTATAGTCCATAGCTTTGCTACTTTATTTACGAGATGCTTCCTCCTCTCCTTCTCCTCCATTTATTGTCATATGTCCTCTCTCTGTTGTTAGTGGATGGGAAAAAGAGTTACAAAGGTTTGGGTAGTGTGTTCTACTAACACTATAAGTACCTTTGATTATTGTAGGGCGTCACCTCAGTTAAGAGTTCTTAATTTTTGTGGAGATAAAGAAACGAGAGGCTCAAAGCAAGAAGAAATACTTTTGCATTGTTACAAAGTAATGTACTATTATTATTATTATTATTATTATCATTATTATCTAGAGTGGTGCTATGATTGATCCTCCTTTTGATATACTACTTGTTCATTATGAAGTACATGTATTAATGATGAT